TCCTGGCTCTTCTTTCTTGGTGGTAGTGAGGTGCCCTAGCCTCTGAAATTGGCTCTCTTTTAAGTCTAGCAGGATGGCAAGACTGACCAATCCCCTCATTAGGATTCCATACACCTTATTTGCATGGCCCTACCCTCCCAATTGTTCCATGCACCTTATTTGCATTGTTAGTAAGCTGTTCAATCCCTTTGGTGGACCACAAGCACCTTATTTGCATAGCCCCACCCAATCACTGTATGGGAGTTACAAGACCGTGCACGGCTAAAAGGACCATATTAAGTAATTCACTGCACCTCAACAGTAAACATCAGTGGGAAACCCAGCGGACAGTAGCACCACATCTATTACGTGCTGAGCACTTAGTACATTCCAGGCATAAAGCTGAGCGCTCAAAGTGCATTATTTCATTTAATCCTCACCACAACCCTATGAGGTGGGTATTGTGATTATCCCCAAATTACGATGAGGTGCCTGAGGCTCAGAGACTTTAAATAATTGGTCCAGAGCCACACAGCTGAGTAGGAGGGCCAAACTCAAATGCAGACCTGCCCCCCAGGTGAGTGCTCCTTACCATCCTTTGGGGGTAATAAACCTGATACAGCTCAAGTGACATTTTGCTTGGATTTGAAGGAAGCATTGCCTAGAATATTTATTCTTTCTTAAAAGTTGAGAATCAAGTCTGTGAAATCTTAAACCTGTTGAAATATTGCCATTCTCAATTCTACCATGGTCCTGGAATTGACCCAATCCCTATTCCCACTTCGCAAAAAGTAGAGGAGAACTCTCAGGAAGCTTGAAAGCTAACACATTTGAGATGAATAAGAGAGGGAAGATATATTAGAGTTAGGTAAAAAGCCACAATTTGTTCTGAGACAAAATTATCATTGGAAAAACCAAAGATATTCTATGTCTAAGGAACATTTTGAAAAACAGAAGATTCTTCTCAACCAACAACCTTGTTCTAAGACTAGAAGATAGTTTCTACTGAGAAGTGGGATATTAGGAGGATAGAGTGCCTTTGCCACTCTGCAGTAGGAATGAGTGTGGGGTCTGATGCTTATTCATCGATGCACATGGGAGAGATGGAAGCAGGAGGAAACCACCCTGCAGCTGAGAACTACCTGGGGATTTAAGATGACAGAAGAGATATCAAGATGGGCTTGTGCTTGGGATTATTGTGCTTCTCTGAATATGAAGCCCCTTGGAATTTCAGGCCTCCTCTGGGCTTAACAGGAGTACTTGGGTGGTGCAAACAGTTAAGTGCTGGGCTGCTAACTGAAAGATTGGCAGTTCAAACCCACCCAGAGGCACCTTGGAAGAAAGGCCTGGCAATCTGAAAGGTCACAGCTTTGAAAACCCTGTGGAACAGTTCTAATCTGTAATACATCTGTCTAACACCTTGTTATGAGTCAGAATCAACTCAACGGCACCTAGTATTATTGATATTATTACTGGGCCTAATAGAATGGGGGTCAGATGGTGCTTCAGCTAAGAGCAAAGAGTTACTTTCCAGTTCGCCCATCTTCTCCAGCTGAGACTTAGAGGTTTGGTGTCTAGGATCTCCTTGGAACAGAAAGGTTTCCTCCTGGTTCCTCAAAAAGTATAGTTTGGGGTCTCCTTCCTCTACATTGTGCCCTGAGCCCTCAAAGTGATGTCATCATTGTGACCCCCTTGGAAAAGACCGGACGTGTAAAATCTGCTCTTTGCAGTCTTGTCTACTCATAAAAAAGTATCCGTCTCTATCGAGCAAGCTTCAGAACCGGGATTTCCTCTCTTATTAAGGCCCTATCGGTTTTTGTTTTATGTCTTCCAAAATGCCATCCACTGATTCTTTTTCCATTGCACCTTGCCGTTGAGTTGGCTCTGACTCATGGCAATCTTATATATGACAGAAAAGAACGATGCTCGGTCCTGCGCCATCTTCATGATTGTTGGCATGTTGTGGCTAGGAGTCTTTTACGTTTGAATGTGGGTTGTATACCAAAGAGGAAAATTTTCTCGTTAACAAATATTTTTTGAGTATCTAGTCTAGGCTACATATGGTGCTAGACCCTAGGGATGGAAATTGAGCAACAAGAGATACTATCCCTGCCTTCCTTTATTCCACAAATATTTATTGAGAGCCTACGATGTGGCAGGTAATGCCCAGGTATTGGGGTTAGATCATGGGTTCTCAATAGGGGCAAAAATTCATCCTCGAGAGGGCAAAAACAACTTACTCTTTTTATGTATAAAGCATAGATATACATACAGATTTATCTATGATAATAAAATTTCATAGGGTTGGGGAGCAATTAGGAGGAAAATGTCTAAAAAGGCTCCTTCTTGTTGTTAGGTCCCATGGAGTCAGCTCCGACTCATGGTGACTTATATATCACAGAACTAAACATTGCCATCTGCATGATCTTTGCTAGTTTTGAGCCCATTGTGCCAGCTATTGTGTCAATCCATCTCATGGACGGTCTCGCTCGTGTTCACTGACCGCCTGCTTTATCAACCATGATGCCCTTTTCTAGCCATTGGTCTTTCCTGATGAGATGTCCAAAGTACAAAAGGCTCCTTAGAGGGGCGAGGGAGCCTGGTGGTGCAGTGGTGAAGAGTTCGGCTGCTGGATTCCACCAGCCACTCCTTGGAAATCCTATGGCGCAGTTCTACTCTGTCCTATAGGGTCACTATGAGTCAGAGGTGGTAATGAAAAAAAAGGTTGAGAAAGACTGGGCTAAAACAATGATAAACAGACAAAAATCCCTGCTTTCTTGGCGTATATTCTTGGGACATTTAAAAAAGAAAATACGGTAATTAAATAATTCTCCAGGCAAAGTATGTTGAGGGCAAAGGCCAGTGGACTAGGGAGCATATTTCACAGAGACCCCACCCCCAGTCCAGGGGACAGGAGAGGACCCCCCTAAAGAATGGATGTTTAAACTGAGGCTTGACGTTTTGTGGGAGCGAGCCGGGGTCTTTTTAGAGTCAAAGTTTGCAGTTGCCAGAAATAGCCACTCCAGTATACCCTGAGTTGCTGTGATGTTGAACAGGTTTCAGCGAAGCTTCCAGACTAAGACAGACTAGGAAGGAAGGCCTGGCAATCTACTTCAAAGATCAACCAGTGAAAACCCTATGGATCATAACAGTCAGATCCTGTTGTGCATGGGGTAGACAAGAGCAGGGTGACTAGGCAGTTAACAAGAACAAGTTACACCTGGGTGTCACGATGCAAATGACTGGCTTCAATCCCTCTTTTTCATTCCAAGGGTGAGGCTCGTGGTTCCGAACGTCAGAATAGCTCATCTGTGGCTGTCTTTACACGGTGGACTCTGCGAGGTTTCCCCAGCCCTTCCTGCCCACAACATTTGCATTTTTACATTCCCCAGTCTCATCTTCTTCCAGGTCAGCCATCCTGTCTGCCTTCTGCTGTCCCCTCCCTTGTCACTATGAAAAGTGAATCAAAGCTTGTTCTGTGGTGCTCCCCACCCCAAACTCCTGGCATTCCTGGAGTGAGGGGAGGCACAGGGACATGGAACTCTTTATTTGTAACAAATTCCCTGGCTCCAGCTCTGACAGGCAACCCCACACCCAGTCCAGACACGGGTATTTGGGAACCATCCGAAAAGGAAAATAAAGGAAAGTTGTTTAGAGGCGAAAGGTTTTCAAATTTCCTGTGTTTTCTACCTCCCTGAGCATTCCGACTGATATTTACTTTGTGGGCTAGTGCAGAGATTTTAGCCTTTCCCACCCTGAGTTGACTTTGAACTCAGTCTTAAAACACAGTCAAGGTGATTTCTAAGCCTGTCTTAAAGTCAAAAGAGCTCAAGAGATGGTCCTTACAGCCCCTTCCATTGAGTTCTTCCAGAATCTCTCCTCAGCCTTCTGAGGAAGACAGGACAGATATCCCAATCCCTGTTTAACAGATGAGAACGCCAAGGGTCACATAGGAGGTGGCAGAGGTGAAACTTGAACTCCGGACCCAAGTCCTCTTCCCCTCAAGGGTATACATGTCATAATGGTTGGAGTCAAAAATCTTCAGGAGATGGAGTTGGCAGTTTAAACCCTGTTGGAAAGAAATTTGCAAGTTACAATAGCATCTACGTTGTGTACAGAGTGTGTGAGATTCTTGAGTTGTAAATAACAGAAACCCATTTAGAAAGGAAGAGAGGTCATTATAAGGATATAGGAGTGAGTGCCTCCTAAAAGCTAGGGGCTAAAAGGGAATGAGTCCTCAAAAAAGAACTGGTCAGCTGTTAGATTCCATGCACCATCTCACATGCACACACACACACACACACACACACATACAGGCCACATGTCCTCTGCATCTCTCTACACATCTCCCGATTTTTTCTACTCCAGTCATGTGACAGGAAGGGACTACCTCACAGGCCCCCAGTTCAAGGGACTAGCCCAGGGGGTGAGTAGCATCTCAGAGCCCATAACCCCAAGACCTGGGAGTGAGCATCTTAATAACCCAGCTTGTGCCAAGTATCCAATCAACTCTATCCAGGGGTCAGGGTCACACATACGACAGCCAGGGTGGCCCTTCCTAGGGTAGGAGGGGGTAGCATACTAAGCAGAGGGCTAGACAGAACTCCTCAAATATCCTTCATTTTTCCCTTCTAAGACATCAGAGACATAAGACACACTGAATTCAGTAATAGCTTGTCAGGAGAAAGAAGCTCCATCACCGTGAAGGTAGCCATCATAAGAAGCTCCTGGTTTCAAAACCGTGAAACTATAAAAACAGAAAGTGACATTTCAGACTGTAAATATAAATAAATATATATGTAGATAAGGAAGAGTATATGCCAAAACACTAATAATGCTTATCTTTGAGTAGGGTGATAGTGATGAATCATTTTATCTTCTTTTTTCTCATCTCTACGTTCTTTTTTTTTTTTTTCCCCCACAACAAACGTTTTATTTTGTGTAAAAAAAGCCACTACGGGGAACATTTTGGGCCTCCCACTGCAGTTATAGAATCTGTGTGTTTCTCTTGCTTGTTGAAGGTTGGAGCCAGGAAGGCTACCCCAAAGATGGACCAAGAAAGGGAGATGCTGAAGAAAGACTTCCCGCCGAGCAAATCCAGCCAGAACCTCTTGTTTTCTAAGCCTGGCGGAAGGAACTAGAGAAACATCATCCCACCGAGCCTCACATGGTCCTCTGTGAGTCAGGTTGACTCTTCTGTGTCAAAATACTAAGATGCTTTTATAGGACTTTAAAGATTGTTAGCCTAGTGTTTTGCTTTCTAGACTGCTATTTTACACGGTACTGTATTTTGGGATGTGTGGGGAGAGAGTTTTTTTAAAAAAATATATCTATGAATGTATATACACTCAGGCATATGAAGAATATATTTAAGTTTTCAACCCAGACTCCTAGGCCTGGGTAAATAAATTTATATGGCTCAATGTTTGGGTCATGATGTGCCCAAACATCACACCTCCAAGGAGCTCCAAGAGACCCAAGTCCAAGACCAAGTTTTGAGAAAACTCAAGACTTGTACTGCAGCCACGAGGCAGAATGGTAATCTCAGGGCTGTTGGGGCCATGGTACCGTGCATTTACATCTGAGTGTATTATAATAAAGTTAGAACGCCAGTCAGTTTTATCACTTCCATAATGATGACTAACATTTATATGGCACTCTGCAGTTTTCAAAACACTTCTCTTTTAATCTTTCTCTAAACCCTGGGGGATAAATAGTATTATGTTCCCCATTTCACAGATGAAGAAGCTGAAGCCAAGAGAGATTAAATGGCTGGCCTAAAATCACACAGCTAGTAAATTCAAGAGTTGGGTCTTGAACCCAGGTTTCTAAGTCATCTCATACTGCCCATTCTGCTACACCAAGATGGCCCAGTAGTTGAAGCCGTCAGGCTATAAGGACAAACCAAGTTCCCAATCACCAAAGAGCAGACACCGCCCAGGGGTACACACTCCTCCTTTACGGTGTTTGGAGAGGCCATTATTTTCCTTGTTCCACTCTCTGCTTGTCCCATGTTCTGTCCTCTCTCCACCCGGTCCTCCTCTGACTACCTTTCTTGTATGGCCAGGATGGCCAAACAAAATAGGAGAAAGAGCCAGAATTCATGAATATCATTTACTTTTATTTTTTTAAAGCCGTAATAAAAATATTTTGATATTTCAAAACCAGATGTATTCTTTATACTGACTAAAAGTAGGGGAAAATAAAAGAAACTCTTTGTGGGACATTCCTGTAAAAGTACATCTTACACAGGGTTAGGATCTAAAGTCATTGAGGAAGGTGAACATTACTTGACCTCAGAAATACTGTTGAAAACCCCTTGTATTTTCCATAAAGCACATGGTATTATTTATACTCTACCATATCCCCAAAGTCCAAAGAAGTCAGTTTACCCTTCAGTCTTGGAATAGATCACTTTGGTTAAGCAGCACTTCAGATAGCTGGCTTATGATTGGGAGCCAAATTAAATAAAAATACTTTGCTTGTTGAGCATGTATGTTTGAATCTGCATAAGTTAAATGTAATACCTGTATGATGCCACTGTATTTTAGGTCTTTCAAAGGATATGTTAATTTTTATCATATCAACATTACAACCATGATGGCAACTTCTTTTCCACATTCCTTGAACTAGATAGTTCTTCGAGTGTCTCTTCGGCCACACCCTCTCTTTCTCTGAGCATGCACATCCACCTTGAAGTTAGCGCTACATACACTGATCCCTTGGTCATAGTTCATTGGCTGAGTAGTAGATACCCAACTCAAGCCAGGCCAATCAGATTTATCTCCTAACTCAAGCTTGAGCCAATCAGCACCTCTGTCCTTGGTATTTGGGAGTGGGACTCTGGTATGCCACTCAGGTCTTTAGTGGTGCTGGAGAATCTAAATGCAGTTCCAGGACTGGGGCAGCCCCTTGTGCTTAGAGAAACAAAGTCAGACTTCAAAAAGAGAGAAGGGTGCAGTACACGTGCAACAAGTAGAGACAAGAAGCCACGGAACCCCAGAGAGAAAGTGCAGCAGATACTGGAGCTTGGCCAGCCCAAAGCCATTCACAAACCCCCTAGTCCTTGCTCTTCTCTACTATATATGCTGACAGGTAAACTGCTTGATTTTCCAGCCCCCCTTGCAGCTAGGACTGGCCAATAACATGTAAGTGGAAGCCCCTGGGGAGGGCTTCTCTCCTGGAATAAATAGTAAGGCCTCGCTGGAAAAAGCTTTTGCCCTTTGCTTTTTTCTCCCCCCCCCCCCACTCCTGGAGCTCAGACTTGGAGCTGCCATCTTGAGGATCATCAGGCAACAAACAAGAGGACAAAGCTCACCTTCCAAAGACAATGAAGTGGAAAGACACGAGAGACCTGGGTGGGTCTTGGTGGCATCACTAGCTCTGCACCCTGACTTGACTTCCTACCTCTGTCCTTCTGGATGTGTAAGACAAATAAATCCCTACCTATTTAAGTGGCTGTAGTCAAATATATCCATTTGTGCTGTGGAACAAACCACCCCAAAACTTAGTGGTTTAAAATAACAAATATTTATTACTACTCATGATTCCATGGGTCAAGCTGGGCACTTTACTAGTCTGTGTTGGGTTGGCTGAGGCTGGATGGTTTAAGATGGCCTCATTTACATGCCTGGTCATTGGGCAGGCAAGTGGGTTGGGGCAGTGGTTCTCAACCTGAGTGATTTTGCCTCTTAGGGGACACTTGGCAATGTCTGGACACATTTTTGGTTGTCATTACTGGGGGTGGGGGTGCTACTATTATGTAGTGGGTAGAGACCAGGGATGCTGCTTACCATCCTAGAATGCACGGGACGGCCCCCAGGACAAAGAATTACTTGGTCCAGAATGTCAATCATGCCGAGGTTGAGAAACCCTGTCTAGATCTTTCTCAGCTGGACAGTTCCCCGCTCCACACTGTCTCTCATCACCCAGCAGGCTAGACCAGGCTCGTTTACATGGTGGTGGTCACCAGTTCCCAAGAACAACAGGAGAGAGCAAGCCCCAGTGCACATGAAATTTGCACGTCTCTATCTGCCTTGCGTTTGCTAATATCCCATTGAACAAAGCAAGTCTCATGGCCAGAGTCAGTGTGAGAGGGACCCCACATTTTTACATCTACCCATGACAGGTTTTCCATTTTTTAAGCTAAATGCATTCTCAACTGACACAGGAGGAAAATAGTTCCCTTGATTCCTGATGACTTTCTCGTTCTTACTTCCTTTCCTTGTGAGTTAGTTCCAATTCATGCTCTTGGATCCAACTAGGACCCTTCGTATCAGTCAGACTTTGCTTGCAAACAACAGAAACCTAGTGGCTAACGTAAGCAGAAAGGGAGTTTATTGAAAGGAAATGAAGAAGGTTAGAGAATCAAAGGGCAGACAAAGCTGAAAAGCCAGACTTAGACAGTCAGGAGCTGACTTTTCTTCCCCATAGATGCCCCTTTTTTGCTTCAGCTGATTTGAGTTTCTGTTATTTACAATGAAACTGCCTTTACTAAGACACTCGGCTACACAGACCCCACTGGTAATTCTGAGAAGCTACCAACAACCTTTCCCCTGGGGTTGTACCAAGGTATGAGATACCTGCAGTCCCCCAACATTTCCCAATCTTCTTCTGATCCCCCAGGAAGCTAAGACAAACAACTTCTTTCCCCCTTTGCCAATGGCAGACCATTTGGATTCTCAGATTCGTGACTTTGCCGATAAGGTGCAACTTGGCAGCATCACCAGTGCCTGCTGTTGTGGAAACCAGAGTCATAAAATGTCTGGAGAAAAAAATAGCTTCTGGATCTGAATTCCAAAGTGTGCTCCTGGTAAGTAGAATTATTCCAATTTTTTAGGGTCTTAGGAATGAAAGCAATACACAAATGACAGAGGAAACCCAAAACTTGCTAACACTAATGTGTTCCTCTTCTCCATGCCGAGGCCTCCTGAAGCAGGAGTCAGGGTGCCCAGTGGGGGTAGACTATTTCGGCTTATCATCTTGGCCTCATTTCCATCAAGATGTGCCGCTCACATCCGTCTGCTCAGTGTCCCAAGTTATTTTGGGCCAATACATGACCTTATGTGCCTGCTTTTGTTTTTAAACATTTTCCTTTGCCCATCTGTTCCCCAGGAATCCGTTGCAATGCCTCCTTCCTGCAATGGGAAGCATTAGCAGGCCCCTTGTTTTGAGTTTCCTCTCACCTTTAGCATATGGCTCTCATTCCTCAGACCCTAAACTATTAGGGGCAGAAATTTCATCCTCTGGCTAACGGTGGTCTTATCATCATAGAAGTCAGTGGTGCCCTGTGGCTGATAAATTACTTTTCTGATTTATCAACCAGCCTTCAATTAGGCAAGAAATAGTGGGTGCCTACTATGTGCCAGATGGTGAAGATGGTGCAGGACTGGGCAATATTTCATTCTGTTGTACGTGGGATCGCCATGAATCAGCGCCAACACGATGGCAACTAACAAACAGCAGTAACAACTTTGTGCCAGATACCAGTGCTGCCGTACTGGACCTCATGGCCTTGACCGTTGCTCCCCTTTCTTTTCATGTTCTGATCTGCTGCTCTAACTGAAAAGAAGTTGGTTTGCCTGTCTCTGGGTGTGTTGACATTCACATAACTGTTAGGGGATCTTTAGTGAGAGCTGCTGCATGCAGTGATGACCCGCTGTGGGGAGTTTGCACGTGCTTTTCAACTGTTAAAGTTTAATAGCTAACAATAGTAACTAACTACCTTTTATAGGGAAACCCTAGTGGTGTAGTGGTTAAGAGCTATAGCTGTTAACCAAAAGGTCAGCAGTTCAAATCCACCAGATGCTCCTTGGAAACCTTATGGGGCAGTTCTACTCTGTCCTTTAGGGTCGCTATACTGGCCTTCAGTCATTGTGCTAAGCACGGTCCAGGCATTATCCCACTTAATCCTCACTGTGTGCATCACTCCTGTTTTACCTATGAAAGCAATGAGTCTAGAGGGGGTAAGCAACTTGCCCAAGGTCACAGAACAAATGTCAGAGCCCAGACGTTCTACTCCTAACTGCTCCCATATATTGCTTCCCACAGTGAAGTCCAGGAACCAGCTGGTTGTCTACTAATCCATGAGGATAGGGTCAACAAACTTTCTGTAAAGGGTCAGAGAGCAAATATTTTATGCTTTGCAGACCATACAGTCTCTGTTGCCTCTACTCAACTTTGACATTGCAGCACAACATGTAAATGAATGAGCGTCGCTGTGTTCCAATAAAACTTTATTTACAAAAACAGGCAGTGGGCCAGATATAACCCAGAGGCCATAGTTTGC